GCCTGTAGTCCCAGCTACTCGGGAGGCTAAGGCAGGAGAATGGCGTGAACCCGGGAGATGGAGCTTGCAGTGAGCCGAGATCTGGTCACTGCACTCCAGCCTGGGCGACAAAGGGAGACTAAATAAATGAATGAATGAATAAATAAATAAACAAAAACTGCCAGGCAAGGTGGCTCATGCCTGTAATCCTAGCACTTTGGGAGGCCAAGGTGGGTGGATCACGAGTTCGAGACCAGCCTGACCAATGTGGTGAAACCCCTTCTCTACTAAAAGTACAAAAAACTAGCCGGGCATGGTGGTGCTTGCCTGTAGTCCCAGCTACTCGGGAGAGTGAGGCAGGAGAATCACTTGAATCCGGGAGGCAGAGATTGCAGTGAGCTGAGATCACGCCACTGTACTCCAGCCTGGGCAACAGAGCAAGACTCCATCTCAAAAAGAAATACGGAACTAACTTATGATAAGTTCTGGAATCAAAAGTACTCTCATGATAAAACGGGTATAAAAGGGAAGGTAGATGAGAAGCATGTGATAAAAACCAGTTCACCATATTATACTACTGGATAAGGCAGAGGTTTACATACTGTGTGAATGGGATTCAGAGTGAGACTAGGCTGGGATGGAGTATTTGGATTGAACATGATTCTGCTTATAAGAATGAGAGTGTTAAATTGGATTTCTTGCTTTATTTGTGATGTTTCAGTTTATTAGAAATCATGTACCATTAGAAAAAGTGAAGTTTCCTAGTAACGAAGTAATTAGATTTGTGTAACTTCATAAAAGACTTAAGCTTTTTTTTTTTTTTTTAATCTGATTTTGAGCTTTGTCTCACAGGTTTTAAAATGTAAGCATTTGGTAAAATTGTCAACATTTTGCCCAGTCGTTTTTTTTTAAAGGGTTCAAAAACCTTTTTGTTTTAATTCATATAGTTGGGTCTTAACTATTGTAAATAACACCATCAATAAGTTTTTCTTCGTTCCTTTTGCAGGAGGCAAGTGAGGCCTATCTGGTTGGCCTTTTTGAAGACACCAACCTGTGTGCTATCCATGCCAAACGTGTAACAATTATGCCAAAAGACATCCAGCTAGCACGCCGCATACGTGGAGAACGTGCTTAAGAATCCACTATGATGGGAAACATTTCATTCTCA